GGGGGGGGGGGCTTGAACAGAGCTATGATGAGGAAGAATGAGCTGGGTACAGGGGTACTGGTGTTTCCGGCAGAGACAGTGAGATGGTGTGCCGAGGTAGCAGGACTGCATGGCCAGAGGGCAGAGGACAAAGGAGAAGAGGCAGTGTGGATGCGAAGCCAGACTACAGGCCTTGTTGCTTGCCCGGGGTGGGAAGATGGGGTTGGACCATCATGGAGAGTCCCTTTGACCCACGCTCAGAAGTCCAAATGTTATCCTGTTGGCCCTGGCAAGCTAGTTTTAAACACAGGAGCGATGATTAGCAGTGTTTTGCAAAGATACCTCTGTCTCTCCCCAGAGGGTTAGGCCCCCTTGAGTCTTTGGAAGGAAGGCAGAGCTCTAAGAGTGGCCTAACTGCACTGTTAAGTGCACTTATCATAGGCGCTGACGTTCAGCACAGAGCCTGGCACAGTGGGGAACTTTGCTAAAGGGCTTGAAGTGAATTGAAAAGATGGGAGCCTGCCCCAGAGGCAGCAGAATCTGGACCTGGCTTTTGGTGCTTTCTTTACTGCAGGATCACTGAGTGACCTCAGACAAATTCTTTTCTCTCTCCAGCTTTTTCTCCCTCTTTCACACCATGACCCCTCCCTCTCCCAAGGTAGACAAGGAACACTCAAGAGAGGTCTCCAGCGAGCTGTCAGTCCAGTCTCGGGCTCCCCAGTGACTTTTCACCCAGGCATTCCCTGCTTGCCTGAGTTGACTTCCCAGTGTGCCGTTGCCTGCTCTTGCAGCTTTATAATCTTCTGCCCTTTTACAGATCCTCACCTTCCTGTACTGCACCTGTGATCATGCTCCTCTTTTCTTGCCTTCTTGCTCACTTGGAACTCACCATGGGGCCAAGGCATTGAACTTACTGTGCCACCTGCCTAGTGTGCCTTATTCTCAGCCTCTTTTAGAATAGAGTGTCCAGGTCCTGCCTCTCTGCTGGACTGTGAGTTCCTTGAAAGCATGACTGTGTCATACTCTTTTCATAACCCCTACAGTACCCAGCACAAGGCCTGGCTCTAATGGGTATTGTTGGTGTTTGATGAACAGAGGTATGCATGAGCTCACTGGCTGCATTTGCTCACTGTGCAAGGATAGCTCTGAAGAGTGCAGTCAGGAGTGACTCCACCCATCTGTGTCATGTTTTAAAGTTCATTAAGCACCTTAAAATACTGTTTCACTGACCCTTAGGATAACCTAGAGTGGAAGCTTTTCCTGCCTCCTTTTTATAGATGGAGAAACCAACACTCAGAAAGGATACATGACACTTGCCTGTGGCCACAAAAGCCAGTAGGTGGCTAAGCCAGGGGAGAGGATGGAAGTGAGGGAAATTGGCTCTTGTAGCCCAGTAGTCTGAGATTGGCATGAGCTGGCTATTGCTAGGCTGGGTGGCAATTACTGTGCTTTTGTTTCTCATCTTCAAGTGGGCTTGGATGGTACCTTCAGTTTGGCTCTCTCATGAGCTTTGTAGCTACCAAGCGGTCTCTCAACTCCTCTCCCTCTCCCCTATACCCTGCTTTTTTGCAGTACTGGGGAGGACCCCAAGACATTCACAGTAGGCAGCATCTATAGCCCTTTTTAATTGTTTATTTTGAAACATCAGCAAATTGCCCAAGATAGGCTGTAACTTTCAATGCTCCTGCCTCAGCTTCTCAGGGTGCTGGCATTACAGACGTGCACCACAGTACCTTGCTCTTTTGAAGTTTTGCCTCAGGAAACCTTAGAGCCCTGGAAGTCTCCTTGGGTTGGCCAAGCTCACCAAGCAAGTCTAGAAAGAAAATAACCTGGAGAGGTCAGTGTTGAGAGCAGCCTTTTGGGCTAGTTTCCACCCCTATGAAAGATCAGAGGTTTCGGTTGTCTCCAGGGCCTGGTTTTGTGGGGTTTATGTGTTGACCACTGAGTTCCCACTGTGGGGGTTGTTTCACAGGAAGGGAAATCTGGTATTCTTCAAGGTGGCCTGATATGAAGAAGTCCCATCTCCAGCCTCTTCAAGGTGCGCTGAGGCTGCCTTGTCCTTCAAGTGCAGGAGCTGGTTGCAGTATCAGGAATGGAAGCTAATGTGGTAAGGGGTATTCCCCAGGCTGGGATAAGGAAGGTGAGATCATTGAGCACTAGGCCTGCTAAAGTGCTCTACAAGGCCCTAAGACTCCAGTTGATTCTTCCATTACTCTGGAATCCTGGAATTGGAGCAAGGCTATCCTCCCACCTTTTCTCCCAGAGAGAACTTATAATCTTGGAGACAGTTCAGGAGTCATTGTGTTTCTGCCTTTTGTGCAGAGGGAATCCCCAATGGTCCCTACAAGCAGCTGCTAGCCTTTCACTGGGCCCTCCCAACAGAGACTGCCTTAGCAGCAGATGTCTCCAGGGTGAAGCTGGCAACTGGAGAACCTACCCTCACTCATAATTGAGACTTGATTTATTCCCATGGTGGGGGGCTGTCCCTGGAAATGAGGAATTCATTCTCCTTGCTGGAGAGGAGAGCACAAGAACAGGAATTGGAGTCATTGTCCCTGAAGATGTGGCTGTCTCTGTCTTTTTGTTCTAGACTATCCCAATCTGGCAGAACAAGCCACATGGAGCTGCTCGAAGTGTAGTGAGAAGAATTGGGACCAATCTACCCCTGAAGCCATGTCCCCGGGCATCCTTTGAAGTAAGTGTGAGTGTGCTGGAAAGGCAAAGAAAAGTAGGGGCTCAAGAGCTTAGGACAGTGCTGCTTCTGTGCCTCTGACCTCTTGGTACTTGCCAGTGCTGTCTGCTTTCCTGGTCACTTTTTCATTTTGTGAAGAAGTATTTACTAAGTGCTATAATAGATCCTTGGCCACCATGCCTTCCTGTTTGCACACAAAGCTGTGACCACAACAATCAGACTTCCAGTTTTCTCATAAATTAATAATCTTGTATATCTCATCTTTGCTTTTTCTGTTAAGTGGCTGGGCTCTGAGGTGTTTGCCTGCAACCTGGCAGGTCCCCACATGGACACTGAGTGCTGTGGCTCTTGAGTTGAACCCTGCTTTTCTCACTAACCCTACGACTTGGTTACTTAGCCACTATTTTTAGTGTTTCTCTGGGGCCTCAAGCCCCCTTCTTCTTTTGGCCAAATATGGCCACTCCTTTACTGAAGTATTACTGGGTCCAGGGAGCAGATTCCTGTGTGGTCCAGGTCTGTGAGACCCACTTCTGTAGTAGAAAACTGTAGCTGCCCAACTGCCTTCCTGTAGTAACTCATGGTGAGGCATCAGCTCCAGGCTAAATGATTAGAGTGTATTGAGTTTGGGAAGCTGAGACAGAAAATACTTAAGTTTTCTAAAGAAAACAGACAAATATATGTATAAAAAGACATTTGCCCAGGTTGAAACAGAAGTAAAGGAGCTGAGTTTATATATATGAGGCTGACTGCAGATTTTTAAGGGACTCGATCTGGAGTTTGAAGTGGTGTCGGGGTTGGTATTAGAGTCAGGGAAGAATTGGAAGTGTATGTCTGGAGGGCTGTCCCATAACCTAGACTGCTTAAAGAACATGGGCAGGTTGGGACCTTAGCTAGCTCAGAAACAGAGGTAAATACAGCCAGACTGACTCCATGGAATCTGCCTGTCCCTACACTTGACTGTACACTGTCCAGTCTAGTCCGTTGGCCAGATGCATCTGGATGGACAATGAAGGACACAAGCTTCCTCAGAGCAGGGTATGTGTGAGTAGTATTAATACTAGCTGCCATTTACTAATGACATACTATATGTCAAGCACTGTGCTAAGTACTTATCTGTATTAACTCATTTAATTTACAAGAGCAGTGAAACAGTCAAAGCTACTCTAGGAAAGCAAATGGAAGCGTCCCTGAAATGGCCCATTTTAGCAATAATTCCTGTGTCAATGAAAATCTTCCTCCATGTGACTGTGATCGTCACTTAACTCCTTCCTATGAATCCTAGGTTCCTTATCAACCCCTGACCCACCTCCCAATCTGTAGCAGAAACATTAATTCATGTATAGGTGTATTTTTTTAACTATTCCTAGATTTTTGTTGTAAATATTTAATAAAGTCTTACTAATTTATTTTTTAAATTTTACCATGCATTAAACTATGCAAAATAAAAATGGAAAACAAATTATGAATAATCACAGTCTTGACACAGTAACTATTAATGTTTTCATGAAGTTCCTGTTTTTCTAGGTACATGTTTTTTCACAGTCAACATATGACTGAATCCTAATTTCAGCTAACATGGTATCATTTACTCAGTTGCTCTGTTCCTTGGTGGTTGTTCTTTGGGTTGAGGATCTATTTTAAGAAATCCAGGACTGGTGATTTAACTCAGTGGTTCTGCTACCTGCCTCACAAGCACAAGGACCTGAACTCGATACCGGGTACAAAAAAAAAAAAAGAGAGAGAGAGATCCCGGCCTGGGGATTTAGTACCTTCCTCGCAAGTGCAAAGTCCTGAGTTTGATCCCTGGTACAAAAGAAAGAATGAATGAAAGAAAGAGAGAGAAAGTCAGAGAGAGAGCAAGGGAGAGAGGGAAATCCCACTGTGGTTACTTTTGTATAATTAATAATTTCTTATTTAAATCTTAATATTCAGATTACTTGGATTTGCTTAAAACAACAGTGCTGTGGGCCAGAGATGTAGCTCAGCGGCTTCATGCCTGTCTGGCAAGCACAAGGTCCTGAGTTCAATTCCAGGTACTGGGGTGGGGGGATAGTGATATAACAATGTAGATTTCAATTAGTTACAGGGTTCAATCCCCAGCTCCAGAAAACAACAAACCCAATTAATTAAAAAGGTGTAAGAGTTAGCCAGGAAAAGTTTCTTGTTGATATAACAAGTTGTTGATGACCTGTATTCTTATAACCAAAGGGCAAAATGGTTTTAGACAGTAGCCATCTCTATTAAAAGGTAATGGAAGACCCTCAGTAAATATGGCATTTGCTTCCCCACAGACCCTGCCTAACATCTCTGACCTGTGTTTGAGAGATGTGCCCCCAGTCCCTACTCTGGCTGACATTGCCTGGATTGCTGCAGATGAAGAGGAGACATATGCCCGGGTCAGGTAGCTAAGGCAGTAGCCAGTTTACTAGGGGATAGGGACTTCCTTCCAGAAGTGGCAAGCAGCAAGGAAGGTGCTTATAAGAGTGCTGAAGGCAATCGGAATGAGAGCAAAAGACTGGTGGGGGTGGGGGACCAGTGGGTTGCTGTCTGTGATGGACATACTTGTCTTTCTCTGGATCAGGAGTGATACACGCCCCCTGAGGCATACCTGGAAGCCCAGCCCTCTGATTGTCATGCAACGCAATGCCTCAGTGCCCAACCTGCGAGGGTCTGAGGAGAGACTTCTGGCCCTAAAGAAGCCAGCCTTGCCAGCCTTAAGCCGTACCACTGAGCTGCAGGATGAGCTGAGCCACTTGCGCAGCCAGATTGCCAAGATAGTGGCAGCTGATGCAGGTAGGAGGCTGTCCTTTTACCCCTGAGTTTTGAACAGGATACGCATAAGGGAAATGGTGGTCCCTGATTCAGAAAAACTTGGCCCTAGGCCTCCGTTGTCCTGAGACTCGGCTAACCTAGAGGTCCTTAGATAATTTCATTTTGGGCTGAATGGTAAGACTAAGAACAAATCTTCACTTAATCTGTGACCTCAGGCAGATTGCTTCCATTGGTTACAAAACCCAGCACCCTTTTCCTGGTATCTATAAGATTACGTATTCTAGGCAAGCTTGAGGTCCTGAGTTTGATCCTTGGTACAAAAAAAGGGGCCAGGGATTTAGTTCAGTAGGTCTGCTGCCTGCCTCTCAAGCACAAGGACCTGAGTTTGATCCCTGGTACCAAAAAAAAAAACAAAAAAGAAAAAAGGATTGCATATTCCATGAGACTACAAGAGTTCTTTTTCAGTATAAGCATTTTCCACCATTACCACTGCAAGACATGTCCTTTCCAAGTACTTCCCTTTCTTTGTCCTTTCTACCAGAGATCACTTCTATCCTCCAACTTTCTGCTTGGATTAATAAGGCAGAACCTCTAGAAATAGATGAGAGCCTGCCTTGAATAGAGGCATGGACAACCAATAGATGGATCTCTCCCAACATGCTCAACAACATTTTAGTTTTGCTCAAAACGTTTCTAGATCATAGATACCAAGACTCAAAGAGTCAAAAATGCTGCTTAAGTTAGAGAAAAGGACAGGTGTGGGACTTGCCTCTGTTACTCTTGCTTGTTTAAAACAGGGCTGTTACTCCATAGCCCACTGTGAAATAGCTTTTAGGAATCAAAGCCTCTATGGGATGGTTTCTTTGGCCACACTGGAAAAAGCCCAGTGCTTCCATCTTCATTAGCCCTGACTGGAAAAGACAGTAGAGGGACTCTACCCAGGCTCTCCCAGAATGTCGTGTCGTCAGCCCAGGAAATAAGTATGTTCTATAGGCAGTGTTTGTAGGGAGAAGATATCACTGCTATACTGTAGCCCCATGTCCATCCATGCCTGTTGTTTTCTCTTTCAGCCTCGACTTCATTAACGCCAGATTTCTTATCTCCAGGAAGTTCAAATGTCTCTTCTCCCTTACCTTGTTTTGGATCCTCATTCCACTCTACAACTTCCTTTGTCATTAGTGACATCACCGAGGAGACTGAGGTAGAGGTCCCTGAGCTTCCATCAGTCCCCCTGCTTTGTTCTGCCAGCCCCGAGTGTTGTAAACCAGAACACAAAGCTACCTACAGTTCATCAGAAGAGGATGACTGCATCTCTCTATCCAAGGCCAGCAGCTTTGCAGACATGATGGGTATCCTGAAAGACTTTCACCGGATAAAACAGAGCCAAGATCTGTAAGTACTGACAAGGATCTCTGGTGATCTATTTAAGTCACCCAGGGCCAATGATCTAACATACTTAAATAGTAAATTGTCAGAGTAGCCATGTTACTTTGTTCAGAGTTTGCCAACTACCTGTTTGCTAGTGCCTGTACCCCAGTATGAGCAACACTTTTCAAGTGTTACGTTAAATCACCCTAGCTAAATGTTAGACTAGTAGGGATTTTACAAGAAGGCTTATCCCAACTTATGTCTCCAGATGGTTTTGGTAGAAGGGTAATTTCATAAAGTTGGAAGTTTTATAAATGCAAAACTGCAAATTCAGAAATTTGAGGACAAAGCTTTTGAGATTCATAAGTAGTTCCCTAACATGGCTGCCTATCAGAATTGCTCAGATTTGCTAAAAATACATCTTAAGAATCCCCAAGGGGTAGAGTTCTAATGATTTCTGTTGAAGTGTGAGGGAATTTCGGGGCCTGCATTCAAAGCAAGAAACTCATCAAGCAGGAAAGCCCTTGCAGTGTTTCTCCAAGTATAGTCTAAGCAGTTCCTTGGGGCCCACAGAGGAGCTTGTTCAAATGCAGGTCCCTGGGCATTTCAGTTTGAGATCCAGACCTTAATAGGTAGCACCTAAGTGGTGCAGCTGTATTTGTTAATGCAGGGAAAGAAGTTCTGAGGGCCTGAAGGTGAGATCTTTCTCTAAAGTTAATGAAGTACCTTCTGAAGGGAAGGTTACGTTGTACAGTGATTCATTTTTGTCTGGGCCCTATTATCCTCTGAAAACTAGACAAAGGCAAGCAACTTACTTTCTTGGCAGTTATCCTTTAGGGAAGTCATGCATATTTTTTCTGGCCCAAGCCAGGTTAGTCATTCTGACCCTCTTGCACCCCCAAATTCAGCTATTGCTGCTGCTTTTGATCTGCCTTGAGCATATTTCTTCTGGCAGCATGTTTTATAGATTGACTCTCAAACTTCTCTTACTTACTTGCCTCTTGAACCAGACGGTATCCAAGAGCCTTATTGCCAAACCCCTCCTTCCACTTGTACTGAGATCTTTTCTCCCTTGTAAGAGGAATTGGGACAATGACTAAAAGTTAGTAACATAGCCCAGTGAGTAAAGGTTCAGAAATGTTAACAGAGCAGAAGCAATTTCTTGATTTTCATGGTTTAATAGTCAATCTTGGCTCTCACTGCCTAAAAAGCTATGGTGGTAACCCTATGGCATGTGTGCCATAGCAGGCTGTCTGTATTATTGAAAGCTCTGAAAGGTTTGCCATCACTGGCCTAAAGACCATAAAACAATGAGGACATATGTAGGTTCACTACAACTTCAGTTATTTTTTTATGTATCTAGGACCCACTTATATGTCATATATCAGATAATTTGACCCTACCCCAACCTGGATTTGATTCCCAAAAGTTTCTTATGATATGAATGCTTTGCTGATTCTGGATCTCTTAAGAGTCTATAGACAGATTAGTAGGAAATCTTCAGCACATCTTTTCCCCAGAACTAATAAAAGTCAGAATTGCCAAGACTCTTCCCCTGAAGACACTATAAGAAAGTGCTACTAAGAAAAGATAGAATCAGAAAGTAGGAACAGAATCTTAGCCACCAGAGGCTAACTCCAAAAGTTGATGGTCCTTTATTTTGCCTTTATAGCCACTTGAGGATGTAGTAAAACATTCTAGTTAAGAGATAAGTTCTGGAACCAGCTATCTTGGTTTTAAAGTCTGAATTCACTTAGTTTACTTGGTGAGTGGCTAGTGACTCTGGGCAAACTGCATGTCTTTCTGTGCTGCAGTTATCTGCCAGTAAGAGGATTTTATAAAATACCTACCTTAAAAGATTGTTGTGAGAATTCAGTGAGTGTGTGCACAGACACAGTGCTGCCTGGGTCTAAGCAAGTACTCCCTAAATACAAGCTATTGTTTTCAGGACCCGGAGTTTAATGAAGGAAGAAGACCCTGCCGTGCTTATCTCTGAGGTTTTAAGGAGGAAGTTCGCTCTAAAGGAAGAAGATATCAGTAGAAAAGGAAACTGACAGCAATCCACCCTGCAAACTCAGTCTCATGCTCCTGGAATTCTTCAATAGCTGCCTTCCTCACCGCAGGTGTTTCTGCCTCTCAGTTACGAATATTCTACAACAGTCTTGCTGAAAAGCTGATGCTTGGAAAGAGAAGGAGCGGGATTATGTGTTTCCCATACTTCAGACCTTAGCAGAAGCTAAGACCTGTGGTTTGAGCTGAGACATTTGTTACAGGAAATTGTGTAGGGCGGCTTAGTTTATGGGATAAGATAGATGTTTCTTGTATTCTCTTGCCCCTGTGTGAAAATAAGTCCTAAATGAATGACTGACTTCACTGCATTAGATCCCATAATTTGTCTCACCAAACACTTTGCCCAGCTGTCACTCACTCAGCAGCCTCCTTGTAGCAGAGCAGGGCTTTAGGGAAGGGGCTGTGTATATGTACGTGTTCACAAGGCAGGGAAGATCTTATGCTGCTCCATCATAAACCTACAGCAGTGTCCAGCTGTCACCTTTCCCTGTCTAGTTGTAGAGGTTGGGCCACCAGCCAGTAGTTGGGCTGCTACTGGGAGGCCTGGGTGGTTTTTTTCTGAAGCATATTTTATAATACTGTACAACCAAATCTACCCTCCAAGGCCCTGGAGCCTCATCAGTTCCACTGATAAAAACTTTTTCCCATGGACTTTTAAGTCCAATAGGAGAGAAACAGGGAGGGGAAAGAACACGCCATCCTTCTTCCAGGCCCTGGACTGACTTCTCCTCTGGGTGGGGCCAAGGTTTGCACCTACTGCATCATGCATGACTCACATGCCCTCGGTGGGCCCTTTCTCTGCGGTATTGTATACTGTGTGTGTTTGGGTTGAAATACTACCTGGCATTAAATGAAGGATTTGGAGAAATTTGCTTTGTCCATTTCTGAGTTGTAGTCATCCTGCATCCCTTAGGGGTAGAGGATTCCTGTGAATTTAAGGTATATGAACTTTCTTAAACAGGCTTCTGACTTTCCCTCTTTCCTTTTAAGGCCTTGCCCTTTAACAAGATTTTGCCCTAGACTCTTAAAAGCAGTTACTTGCAAGTTTTCCCCCAAAGGTTGTTTAAACCTTGGGTACCATACCTGCAACATGAGAAACTGCACCTTTTGGATAATGTCATGGATAGAACACAGGCCAAAGCAAGCTCCTGTGCAGGTTAGAACCCTGACACATGTATTATTAAAAAGTTACGGCCAGGCATGGTGGTGCATGCCTATAATCCCAGCACTCGGGAAGCTGAGGCAGGAGGATCGCTGTGGGTTTGAGACCAGCCTGGGCTACATAGTGAGTTCCAGGTCAGTCTCAACTACATAGTGAGATCCTGTCTCAAAAAAACCAAAACAAACAAACAAAAGTTTACTTTTTCAAAAATAAAATTGGTAATGTTCTAATTACACCAGAACCAGCATTACAAACATTAACATGTTTTACAAAGGGAATTTCCTCCCAGAAGGGAGAAAGGGTTCCTTACCACCTTGTGAAGGAAAAACTGTCAGTCACATAGATTGTTTTATTGCTCAGTTTTTTTTGTTGTTGTTGTTTTTTGTTTGGGGGGCGCCACTGGGGCTTGAACTCAGGACCTTGCACTTGCCAGACAGGTGCTATGCCACTGATGCTCAGGCTTTTTAAGGGAGAGATTATTTAAACAAATTGTATAAGTTTAAAATGCTGTACAGTTACCACAAAAATAAAATAACAAAAAAAATGAGGCTATCACTATATTCTCCCTGTTTCCCATCCCTACCTCTACACATCTGGGCTGTGGAATTTGCCTTATCTCTCAAAATGGCATGAGGAATAATGATTCCAAGCTTAGGCAAATGAGTAAAATTTCAAGCAAGAGATGAAAAGAAGCAAGGACCCAGCCAGGCATCTGAAAAGGCAGAGGGATCTCTGCACAGGCTGACTATTCAGCGGAGAGACAAGTTCATGTCCTGCCCTCCTCAGTGCTCATCACAGAATCATTCAAGGAATTCACCAGCCACCTTCCTGAGGGAAAAACATGGTTCCAATCACATTGTCTCAACCAGTGGCAACTGCCTGTTTTATTTACACAAAGTGCTTAATAATAACAGCTTAAGCCTATGCTGCCTTCCCACCTCAATCCCCCACCTTTACCTAAGACATACTTTCCTACATCTCCACCACTTCAAGATGCTTTCAGAAACCAAACTCCCATACAAACATTCAAAATTGGTGCCTGATAACTTGATTACCTTCAGAGTCCTGGGTAAGGAGCAAATCAGGCTGCAAATTTAGCTGTGTGTACTCAGCCTGGCACTCGGCCCGAGGGCGGGTTGGAAAATGCCCTAGGCCCTGAGACCAGCTGTTACTTACATCTTGGAAAGGAGCTCTCGTGTGGGCAATGACTCGCTGGCCCTGAGAATCTTCAGTGAAAAGCTGACTCCAGGATTCTTTGTCATTCTTTTCACTACCCCAGGAAAACACAGAAACAGGACAAGGGTTTTGTTTCGCTGACTTTGTGTTTTCTCTACTCCAGGATTCCCTGGAAGCTTGGAGTTGTACAGAAGGCTGCCTATTTTCTTTGGCAGACACTTTCCTTTCTGATTTAGCTTTGTCCAAGAGCTGATGGCATTTGTCCCCAGTTGGTTTGATGTGTCTCTGCATGTCCTGATAGTTCTCAGATCCATAAAACCATTCCTTTTTCCTCAAAGAATCCTTTTGGTCCATCAAACAAGAACTTTCCAAGTCCTGGGTGAAGGACAAAGTCAGTGAGGCTTTACTTTCTTCAGCACAGAGTAGGGTATTAGGTTGAGACAGAGTTAAAAGTGGGCTTCTCACACTGTGGTGGCCAGAAGTCTTGTGGGACCAAGGAGAAAGTCCAGTTTCCTGGATGTCTTCAGGGGTTGAGGTGGCCAGAGGCGGTGCTATGCAGTCATCCTCAGAGTCCTGGATCAAACAGTCTAGCTGAGTGGTGTCTTTCTTGGACTCCCTGTTGATTTGACTTTCTGTATGAGATAAAACCCTTCTCTGATTACCAACATCTGTCATTCCTAGTAAGATAAGACTGGGAAAATATTATAATGTATGAAAATAATTGGCTTTTTCTAAAATCAATACCAGCTAATATTACTACCTAGGGCAAGATTACTTAAGATTCTTCAAATAACTTTGTAGCTGACTTTCCTGCTTTCAATCTCACTATTCTTTCCTGAATGTTCTAAAACATAGATCTTATTTCTCCCTAATGAAATGCTTTATATGGATGCTTCCCATGACCTACCTCTACCTAATAAAAGTCAAACAGGGACACAATCAGACTATAGCCTACTTTTCCAGCTCAGTTTATCAAGCATGGAATAGACCTTGTTCTGACTTACGGATGGACAAATGACATGGACTTCTCCTTGCACCCAAATCAAGATCTAATTACAAAGAAGCAGAATGATTAATTTCCTCTTTCCTTCAACAAGAATTATACTACAGAAACTGTTCTGTGGGGGTTCGCAACTTTGCCTAAGAAAAGAGTGGATGACAAAATATACCAATTATCAAGCTCAAGAATTTGTAAATGGGAAAGGTGTTTTTGAAAAAATTTTCTGTACGGAAAGCAAAAATTGTTTGTTTTGTTTGAGGAAGGGACAGTGCACTTTGAAGGTTTACATAAAGTAAGCCTGAGTCACAAACATACCTCCCAGTGCCCTCCAAGTGGCAGGAAGCTCTAACCTCCTCCAAGACATATCCCAAATACACCTTTCCTCACTGCTCCCTCACCAAATACAAATATTTAATATTAAACAGTGAAACAACTAGAAAAGTATGTTTGTAAAAGCATGTGTATACTGCTTTCCAAAAAGCAATGACTTCTTGTGTTTTTGTAACACAAGAAGTCAGCTAAGTTTAACAATAGAATGGTTTCACTATATCTCATAAATGTTCCAACATGAAGAAATCACACTCCTTTTTGCTCCCTGGATAATAAAGTACTCCCAGGAGGGTCACCATACCTGGCTGCAAAGCGAAGGAAGCAATGCTGGTCTGCTTAATGCTTGCAGATGGAGTTCTTTGAGGGAAAGAAACAGGCTTTCTCTCTTGAGGAAGGAGTGTTAGCATTTTGGTGCCTGGTTTAATTAAATGTGTCTGACATGGAGAGAAAGAGTAAGAGAACCTATTAATATTTTTAAAAGTTACCAGACAGGAGATATCCAATAAACACCGGTGACAAAACCACCCTGGACTCACTCGGCACGACTTACATCCTATTCTTCCTCTGGGTGAGATGTGCTGGGCATCACCTTCCACCATTTTCTGCCATTCTTAGTGTTTTTCTAAGGAATCACCTATTCCAGCTATAGCCTAACCTTTGTACTTTCCAACAGAAATCAATCAAGCTGACTAAATGAACATGATTTGTTAAAGGGGGTCCAGAAATGATGTGCTTTAGATTTAAGGATAATGTGTTTTGTTTTGTAAGACAGACAGGGTCTCATTAAGCTGTCCAGGCTGGTCTCAACTCCTATGCTCAAGCAAGTCTCCTACCTCATCCCACCAAGTAGCTGAAAATAAAGGTGTGCACTATGCCCAACTTAGTAATTAATGATTCGACATCAACAGCAGTTGATTCATTTTCAGTAGTTTTGTACAAGTTGCTTATTTTCTCTGTCTCATTCTCAGGTGTGAAATGGTGGTAATGAAAGTTTTATCCGGGCCAGGGATGGAATTCAGTGGTGCTGCACCTGCCTGGCAAGCTCAAAGTCCTTAGTTCAATCCCTGGGATTGGGGGGAAAAAAAGTTTTTTCCCAGGACAGTTATGAAAACTTACTGAATTCACATGAAAGATTCAGTTTCTGGCCACAGAAAGCACTCTAGCACAGCTGGCTGAAGGACAGGAGAAGTGAAGCAGCACCAGGTTTGCCACACTTAGATCTCTTTATACTGGAGTGTAGAACAGGAAGTGAGCAAGACAGGGTTTGGGAAGTCAGTTTTGGCAACTAACTGTGACTAGCCTCCTTATTTACCGCAATTTGTTTTTATTTGCATTTGCTTGTTTTGGAATGCCTGAAAGGTAGGGAGAGTAGAATTGTATTTAGTCTGATTTGGCTATAACTTTCAAAGAAGAAATTAGATTTGTCAATATTCATACAGCAAGTTGGAGGTAAGCTGAAACTTGAACCCAAATGAAGCTGACTTCATTTCTTTTTTATTTTTTTGGTACCAGGGATCGAACTCGGGCTCTTGCGCTTGCAAGGTAAGTGGTGAAACCATTGAGCTAAATCCCCGGCCTTTCATTTCATTTTTACATTTGGAAACTAAGCTGTGTGGTTAAAAGAACAAAGAAATCCTTTATGTAAAACTCATATTTCAACTTCCCCCGCAACCCCCAATACCAGGGTTGGAACTCAGGACCTTGCCCTTGCAAAGCAGGTGGTGAAACCACTGAGCTAAATAAATCCCCAGCCCCATTTCAACTTCTTGTAGTACTGGTAGGGAACTTTCCCTTCTACCATACACAACTAGCTAGAAAACTGGATCAAAGATACTTTGGTGGGGGTTACTGGGGACTGAACTCAGGACCGCACGCTTGCCAGGAAGGTGCTATGCCACCGAGCCAAATCCTTGGCCCAAAGATAACATTTAAAAAAAAAGCTTTTCTAACAGTGGACAACAGACAACAGACAGTAATCTGTGATTCCTGAGAAAAGAGAAACAAGTATAGTAAGCCCTGTGTTCAGCCTAGCTTTCTGCCTAGAAGCACTGTCCAGGCCAGTGCATACGGAAGCACAATATTGCAGTCTTGAGGAATTGAGTAGATTGAGATTGGGATTTGGGAAAGCTAAGGTAGCTTTCCTTACAGCTCAAAGGAAGATCTCCAAAATAGGCACTCAGATCCTTTGAATCACTGACTACGCTACTAAGGCTACACATGTAGGCAAAATCCCTTGAGGCCAGGCAAAGAATTAATCAAATCATTCCAACTAATCCAAAGGAGAAGTATTACAAGACTTCTCTAGAACCACCTGGCACTGATTTTTCCACCTAAACCTAACAAAATCTCCAAAGAGAGAAAAGTAAATATCGTCTAGCTATCAAAACTCCTAAATTAGAGACCTGAAATATCTGTGCCAACTAGCATTAGCAAGTCTCATAAGTGCTCCCCGCTAATGAGATTTTTATTACTTTTTTTTTTTTTTTT